CCTGGGACACTACCCCCTGGACGCTTACCCCTCAGACGCCCACCCCCCTAGGACACCACTCCCATGACACTTACACCCCAGATATTCACCCCCCCTAGGACACTACCCCTATGACACTTACCTCCCTGGGACACTACCTCACCAGGACACCTACCCCCTTAGGACACTTACCCCCACTTACTCCCCACCCTGAGCGAGGGGAGTGTGAAAATGTCCTGATACCCAAAGTATTCGGTTACCTTACAACCTCATTAAAAAAGCTTTTTTAGTACTACTTAAATAATAAATCATAGGGAAACATAAGAATTTATTTAAACGAATAAACCATGTTTTTACATTCACATGCACCAGCTGTTTACGTAAACAGAAAAGAATATGTCGTCTGTCTTGAATTGAGGAAACAAAGGATAATTCCACCAGATGTTGAGGAACTTCACAGTGAAAACCTGCAAAACAAAACCGCTCTACCGTGAAACAGTTTAAAGGATGAATATTTAAAAAAATTAGAATAAAAATCTAAACTCAACAGGCAGAAGTTACAATTTGTGTTTTAGCACATTTTTTAACATCTCTCGTGTTTCTTGATGTTGACCTTTTTATTGTTTATTTTTGTAGCTTCTACGACAACATCGTTGGAATCCCAAATCTTCAAAACTTCGAACCACCAAAGTTTTGTGAAAATGCCCAACTGGAGGAAGAGGAGGAGCCAGAATATTTCTATATGTTCATTTAAAGAGTAATTGTGAGGAGTGTAGTGCAAATTGATGAACATGAATCTTTGCACTATATTTCACCTTTAAGTGGCTTTCCTTAATGAAGAATGAAGTGCCCATAAACAAGCTGTAAGTGGATAAAATGCATCAGTTAAATCTATAATCTGAATCATTTGGTGTTTTAGGTTTTCTGTACACAAATCATAAAGTGAAGCTTTTCCTTTGATTATAAATAAAGTGGGAATTTCTTCTTTCTTTAGCAAAATCTTTCTGTTATTGTCCTCATTTGCCTTTTGGTGACAGGCAGTAATATTTTTGCTCATGTCTGTGTTTGTTGGCAAACTATTCATTTTTACAGTTACCTAAACTTCAGTGTGGTAGTAGTTGAGACTGATCCTCTACACATTCTGAGTGCACAATCACACACAATCTTTGTTAAAATTTTTCTGTTAAATATTTAGGATCAATGATGTGTTAGCTAAATATCTAGAAAACCAGTGTACTGAGTTAAAAAAAACTTAACAGTGTTCGTACCCTTTTATAAAGCAAAACACTTTGATTGTGGTTATTATTTAAGCCCCTAGTTTATTGTCAGACCTAATGAGATGAGCTGTTATCTTCTAAATCTGTACCTTAAACAGTTTTATAGATAAGAAATTTATCTCATAAATGAATGTAAGTCAAATTGGTAACATGGTCAGAAACTGGAAGCTAGTTCCACAAGAGAGGAGCTTGATAACTGAAAGCTCTGCCTCCCATTCTACTTTTAGAA